ATCTGTCATTTAAATCACTAATTCAAATTGATTAATAATACGATGTTCTTTACATGATATGATTTAAGATATCTCTTTAATTTTATGACGTATTTTTGTATGCAATAAATGAACCACACATACACACACACACACAATATGAAAGGGCTTGCGCCTTCGTGCGATACAGAAATATGAAGTCCAGGACAGACCGTCCTCGATACTACAGGGGTTACAATCACTATCGCTCTCTGCACCCCTGGATCAAGTCATGGCAACATTGAGGGTTTCGTGTGCGACACATTGTGGACAAGACGAAAAGACTACTTCGATTCTTTGCTGTACATCAAGCGAATATCGAGGCTGCAAAACGGTATAATGTAATGGCATAAAAGTTGGTTGTCGCTCCTTTGTGATCTTTACAAGGAACGTATCAGCCTGTGATTGGTCAGCTTTTTTTTTCTCCTGGAACCAATCCAATTACTTCGCTTGCGCCTTCAATTTTGCCATGACATGTTCAAGTGGTGGAGAGACGGAAGTGATCCTTACCCCTGGAGTATCAAGGATAGGGACAGACGAGTCTTTGCCCAAACATAGTGTTTTGTGCCAGATGTCAACATCGGAAGATCCTTGTCATACCGGAAACCACTCCAGCTGGTATATACTATACACATATATAGAGTACTAGGGATTTTACATTTTAAGTGATAACCGAAATAAAATCCCAAATCTTTATCATCTTTATGTTAAAGTTTGTGATTAAAAATTGAAGTAAACCTTTATTTTAAAATTAAAATATCGGTGAATATCATTGACTCAGACTGATGTGGGTGAATGAGAAAAATATGCTCTTAATCGGAGAATCCAGAAAAAGCTCGCGTTATCGGGCTAATCTAGGTCGAGTGGAGAGAGATTGCACTCATTTGTCACGAGACTATCAAAATTTTCGGAAAGGAAACACCTGCCAAAACGAGTCCACACAGGAAAAAGTCCGAAATGAAGAAGAAAGAACATTCAATGTTACGTTTTGGCGTCTTTTTATCTTATTTTGGCGTTATTTTGTTATTTCATTGTGATGAGTGATTTCATGTAGGCTATTTGTCCCCTTGATTTAGCGGCTTTCTTAAACTCTTAATGTTGATTCGTTTATCTTAATATCAAATAAAAGAAAAGAAATGTCACAGGATCTTAGAACTCGGAAAAATAGGAAGTAAATTCCAAAGGTCAGATACATGTACATATCATAACAAAAGTAGATTGTTGTCACTTAAGAGACGTTATATAAGGAGGAAATATATATAAACAAAGACAGGGCAGTAATACCGTCCGTCAAAATCTCTTTTCAAGGCCATCTGACCTTTTAAATGAAAACTCTAAAACTCAATTAACTTGGAACGTCCGTGAAGATAGATATATAACTATATCATTCATGTCTTTACTATATGTATGGAAAACTGTTTATATCGTAGCCATATCCCCAAGGATTTCAATCATACGTCTATGAGTGTGTTTCGGTCGAAACACGAAATATTACTGAACCACGCACGTGTTGGCATTCAGCCTGCGTTTTACGTTTATCACAACAAGAACTGTCAGTACTGTTGACGGAAAGCATTATTGAAGTTGGTTAACTGAATTTATTCTTTTTGTTTCATCCTAAGATCTGATGCTGATGATCAAACACCATCGAAATAACGTGGTAATACAATGATGGTGATCACGTGATATATTGGTGTAAGGGCGATGTCACGTGTCACATGGACATTTTTATTTTTAAAGGATGCACAGTACCATTGAGATAATTAGGATCGTTCATATAAGATTTTGTAAAAGAAGCCTAAGGAGTTTTCATTTTTGACTCCATTATAGACCTCTTACACCCCTCGTCACACTTCCTTCTCATTCTTCCCTAATCCTCCTTTATCCCTCGCCACCTTCCCTCTCGTTCCTCCTTTATCCCTCGCCACTTTTCCCTCTCGTTCCTCCTTCTTCCTCCTTTATCTCTCGCCACCTCCCCTCTCGTTCCTTGCTATTCTTCCTTTATCCCTCCCCACTCTTCCTTCTCATTCTTCCCTAATCCTCCTTTATCCCTCGCCACTCTTTCCTCTCGTTCCTCCTTCCTCCTTTATCCCTCGCCACTCTTCCCTCTCATTCTTCCCTAATCCTCCTTTATCCCTCGCCACTCTTTCCTCTCGTTCCTCCTTCTTCCTCCTTTATCTCTCGCCAATCTCCCCTCTCATTCCTCCCTTATCCTTCGCAACACTTCTCTCTCATTCCACGCTCTTCCTCCTATATCTCTCGTCAACCTTACCTCCATCCTAAATACTCCTGGGGATATTACCACTTTCGCTTTCTGCAACCCTGGAACATGTCATGGCAAAATTGAAGACACAGGCGGAGCAATTATTGGATTGGTTCAAGGAGAAAAACCTGACCAATCACAGGCTGATACGTTCCTTCTGAAGATTACAAAGGAGCGACAACCAACTTCTAAGCCATTACAGTATACCGTTATGTGACCTCAAGATTTATCTGATGTACATCAAAGGAACAAATTAGTCTTTTCGTCTTGTCCACAAGGCGTTGTGCATGGACGTCAATTTTGTCATTACAGGTTCCAATGGTGCAGAGAGCGATCGTAACACTTGAGTATCAAACATTTCCCTCTCTTCGCTATTCCTCCTTCATTCCTCGCAATCCTTCCCTCTCAATCCTCGCTATTCTTCCTTTATTCCTCGTCATCCTTCCCTCTCAATCCTCGTTATTCTTCCTTTATCCTTCGTCATCCTCTCAATCCTCGCTATTCTTCCTTTATCCCTCGTCATTCGTCCCTCTCAATCCTCGCTATTCTTCCTTTATCCCTCGTCATCCTTCCCTCTCAATCCTCGCTATTCCTGTTCATCCCTCGTCATCCTTCCCTCTCAATCCTCACTATTCCTCCTTCATCCCTCGTCATCCTTCCCTCTCTATCTTCGTTATTCTTCCTTTATCCCTCGTCGTTCGTCCCTCTCAATCCTCGCTATTCTTCCTTTATCCCTCGTCATCCTTCCTTCTCAATCCTCGCTATTCTTCCTTTATCCCTCGTCATCCTTCCCTCTCAATCCTCGCTATTCTTCCTTTATCCTTCGTCATCCTCTCAATCCTCGCTATTCTTCCTTTATCCTTCGTCGTTCGTCCCTCTCAATCCTCGCTATTCTTCCTTTATCCCTCGTCATCCTTCCCTCTCAATCCTCGCTATTCCTCCTTCATCCCTCGTCATCCTTCCCTCTCAATCCTCGTTATTCTTCCTTTATCCTTCGTCATTCGTCCCTCTCAATCCTCGCTATTCCTCCGTTATTCTTCGTCATCCTTCCCTTTCAATCCTCGCTATTCTTCCTTTATCCCTCGTCATCCTTCCTTCTCAATCCTCGCTATTCTTCCTTTATCTCTCGTCATCCTTCCCTCTCAATCCTCGCTATTCCTCCGTTATTCTTCGTCATCCTTCCCTCTCAATCCTCGCTATTCTTCCTTTATCCCTCGTCATCCTTCCTTCTCAATCCTCGCTATTCTTCCTTTATCTCTCGTCATCCTTCCCTCTCAATCCTCGCTATTCCTCCGTTATTCCTCGTCATCCTTCCCTCTCAATCCTCGCTATTCCTCCTTTATCCCTCGTCATCCTTCCCTCTCAATCCTCGCTATTCTTCCGTTATCCCTCGTCATTCGTCCCTCTCAATCCTCGTTATTCTTCCTTTATCCCTCGTCATCCTTCCCTCTCAATTCTCGCTATTCTTCCTTTATTCCTCGTCATCCTTCCCTCTCAATCCCCCTATTCCTCCTTCATCCCTCGTCATCCTTCCCTCTCAATCCTCGTTATTCTTCCTTTATCCCTCGTCATTCGTCCCTCTCAATCCTCGCTATTCCTCCGTTATTCCTCGTCATCCTTCCCTCTCAATCCTCGCTATTCTTCCTTTATCCCTCGTCATCCTTCCCTCTCAATCCTCGCTATTCTTCCGTTATCCCTCGTCATTCGTCCCTCTCAATCCTCGCTATTCTTCCTTTATCCCTCGTCATCCTTCCCTCTCAATCCTCGCTATTCCTCCTTCATCCCTCGTCATCCTTCCCTCTCAATCCTCGTTATTCTTCCTTTATCCCTCGTCATTCGTCCCTCTCAATCCTCGCTATTCCTCCGTTATTCCTCGTCATCCTTCCCTCTCAATCCTCGCTATTCTTCCTTTATCCCTCGTCATCCTTCCTTCTCAATCCTCGCTATTCCTCCGTTATTCCTCGTCATCCTTCCCTCTCAATCCTCGCTATTCTTCCTTTATCCCTCGTCATCCTTCCCTCTCAATCCTCGCTATTCTTCCTTTATCTCTCGTCATCCTTCCCTCTCAATCCTCCCTATTCCTCCTTCATCCCTCGTCATCCTTCCCTCTCAATCCCCCTATTCCTCCTTCATCCCTCGTCATCCTTCCCTCTCAATCCTCGTTATTCCTCCTTTATCCCTCGTCATCCTTCCCTCTCAATCCTCGTTATTCCTCCTTCATCCCTCGTCATCCTTCCCTCTCAATCCTCGTTATTCCTCCTTCATCCCTCTTCATCCTTCCCTCTCAATCCTCGTTATTCCTCCTTCATCCCTCTTCATCTTTCCCTCTTCCCCCCATTCCTCTACCACCCATGACTAAACGGTACAGATGAGGTTGAAACATTTTATGTACTTATATGAGAAAAAGCTAACAATAGAAATTTCGCATGTGGTTTTAATTTATTTAAATTAAAAATTATTTAAACAATATTTAATCTATAAATAAATATAGAATTATAGAAACACTTATTGAGTCTTAAATTGAATTCAATTATGATTTTGGTTCTGCCTAGAGTTCATTAACCTTCACATCATAACCTCGATTTCGTCCGTCCATCTCGTACCTCTTCTCACTGCGCATCTTCCCTGAATACTCATTCTTTCTCGCTCTCCTCCTCCAGCCCCCTTCATCCAAACCTGATACATCTATTATGACATTCATGTATGCACACACATTATTCTTTATGACTAGCTAACGTTGACTTGAGGCCAACACGGGATATTGACAAAGCATCTCCGAAAAATTGTTTTGACCGAAGTTTCAGCAATCGTTAGTGGACATCATTAACTGGAATTCTGACATCGGTACATGACGTCATCTAAAGGTAAAACGTTTACCTATTCGTATGAGGTATTTTCTGTATTTGAGCAATTGTCCGTTTAGAACGTTCTGGAATCACACGTGAGCCTTGTCCTGTTGTGTATGTGATGTCATTTGCTTGGAATCCTGGTTTGTATTTTACAAATATAGTTTCATCAAATTTATTTAAACCTAAACCAAAATATGTATAGTTGATTTTTCATTTGCTTATGTTTTATAATCACTATATATGTGTGTTTATATCATTGTGTGTGTATTTTTATATTTGTATATTGTTCTTGCAAGCATATATCATATCACAAGTGTTCGGACCTATCTGATGTAGTGTACACAATCAGGAATGATTAGTCCTCTAATATGTACACTTATTAGCACTTATTTGTCTTTGAGACATGTGCTTTGTGTAGGAGCTTGATTACAGAAGACAATACCCCATCTAGCTACAGTCAAAATATCATTTAACAGTGTTAGCGTCTGTGAGAACTTTTGTCTATTACGCCGTCATATTGAGACAGAACAAGTCCTTGGCGTTTATAGCTGGGATACGGCTGGTACTTATCTCAGCGCCGGAGGGCTAATAAGACATACTGTTGACATTTATAACTAGTAAACACGTTTTGAAAAAAATGTAAACAAATTACTACAGCGGATGGTTCTGATAATATTGCTGATTTAATATCCTTTTTATAAAGCGGAATTTGAAAATCCCATGATCGCGAAGGTATTGGAAATCTTGTTTTAGAAATTATTCTTTAAAAAAAAATTTTTTTACCACATTGCAAGGACGGGAAAAATTTGCGAAAAATAAACAGTATGAAAAAGATAATCTTACCTACTTACATATAACTATTCTGCTTTATGTATATATTACTTCAAGTCATGACAACGGTTTGCACTAAAATTTATATTGCAACGGAATATACTTATTATATATAATATTAAGTCAATGGGGAAAAAAACGGGAAACAGCGCGTTATTAAAAAAAAAGAAATCAATGAAAAAGTACGTCCAGTTATTAAGTGTTATTTTATTAATGTTATCAACTGTTACAAAACTCTGACAGGACTAATTGTTTTATACCTCTTTCAATGTTACATTTTATTTTACAACCGACATCCTCAACAAAAGTTCACACCTTTGTAAGTAAAAACCCAATCACTATTTTCTTCTTTCCTATCCGCTTTTTCTTTAATTTCGAACTTTGTCGGACATTTCTCAGTTTTGTTCAATCAATGCTTTGTCTATAAAGTTCTCGGCAATACTGCTTTGATTGATGACAATGAGTTCCACTTGACAAGGAAGCAGTGTGTTATCCTGGATAAACTTATACAGTGCAATTCTGTAATGTCCTGCAATTGTTAGATATAAATTCTCTTAAATTGCATGTAACTTTGTTGTTAATTCTGTTTTAAACACTGTGTACCGCACAATCAACATACTGTGAAGAAGACATTTTTCGTGAGTTTTAATTTACGTGGGTTTTTTTACCAACTGTTAAAAACACAATATCTTGGAACATTTTCCTTTGATTTCGATATGACACCGTTATCTTCATCAGGCACCTAGTGGTCGTTACTCTGATGAAGATGACAATGTGGTCATCGAAACATCACACAACTTGTACCTTAGCACAGGGTATCATGACTTGGACACGTTAAGATGACACCCCAGCCGGAAATCTTATACTGACCATGGACAAGTTAGTCCTTATATACTGAATGAAAAACAGGAAACACTAAAAACTTTTTTCAGCGGTATGTCGCGGCTTGAGGACAGAACCCTTAATCTTCCTCCTTTTGGGGGACGCTCTACTCAAAAGCCAAAACGATTAGATGGACATCAGAGAAAAATATCTTAAAAAAAGAATCTCTATTAGATCGACATTACGATCAGTTTTTACGTCCCACTTACAGGGCAGTTACTGATGTGACAACTTTAGTGTTACACTTACAGTTACTATGACAACAACTTCATTTTATCTCTAAATAACGTTAATCAGTGAATAAGCAACTAAGTACCAAAGTTTGTTATGAAATACTCAATAGTGGTATATAACTGGTATGAAAATACAGGCGCGTGCATGCACGTGATATGTGATTATATTTCCCTGGGAATGAATGTTAACGAGGCGTGATCTCTCAGAGATGACATAATACACCAAAATGTCTCCCAGCCCGCCCAGAAGGTTCGTCACTACCGCCTTGTCTTCTTATTTAATAATGTAGCGTCCTAACATTGCAGCAGACACCTCTTGTACAGAAATAAAACTAGGTCAATGATGACCCTGTGTCGTTGATTTCATCAGACTACACAAGTTAAACACTTCACTGTATAAGTATAAATTGCATTTCATTTCTATCTTCTTCCAATGAAGCTAACAGTTTCTACAGAAGGGTATAACAATGCTCATAGTCTCACATTCATAGATTTACACATCATAATGCATATTACCCTGGCACAGTAGTTTTGTTCTCGCTTTTGCCTTGAGAATAGTTTCTGCAATCTGGTTTTAATAACGCTAGCGAGTCACGGGTGTTATAAGACCAGTTTTTCACTGTTCTGTCTTGTAACACGTATATTAATATATTTGCTATTTATCACTCGACACCACCGATTCCCCGTATGGGGCCTCATCCCAGGCATCACGTAGACCTGATTAATGCGAGTTTACATGGATGGCATTGTATGGGTCAATTTGACTTGTTATCGCTAAGGTCTCCTGTTAACAGGCGATGGAAAGAACAAAATAGAGGTAGGTCAATTATCATGTCAATTTCCTAATGAACGAATTAAGGAGGTAATCAGTACTGATGTCTATTACTTGTCCTAAGTATCGACGCATCATGGTTGGGGTACATGGAGCCATCAGAAGTAAAGAGTCTACAAGCTTTTGATTAATGTGCGTTATAAATTCATTCTTGTTTTGGATGTTGTTTGTTGTTATCGTACCTGTATTTCCGCTTCTGGTCACATGCTCTGTCGGACAACTAACCATGTATATTGATTTAAAAACTTCTTGAATGTAAACGATTACTTCCACTCTTTGGTTTCGCGACTTAAAAGCTTCGCCGTCAAAATGGCTCTGTGAATATTTCCTTTCGATTTGCTGTGAAATCGTTCTCTGTAGCAAATGACAGTAGAGGAGTGAATTGGTGTCGTTGCTGTCGCTCATAGTTAAACTGATTTTATATCATTATATGTGATGAAAACATTTAAACTGGAGCTTGGTAAAGGTCTGTATGTTAATTATATTGAAATACAAACGTACCTTAACCAGTTTTAAAATACAAGCGCGATTCCTCTCATTCGTGTGCTCTAACGGGTGTCATCCTGGTTAACTATCTGACTACCAGTTGAAGTGACCAATGGCGAAACTGTTCAAGTTGGGATCTCACTCATTGGTGAGACCAGCTACAGCCGCAGACCACTGACCATTGCGAAAGAAGGGGGTGATCACGCGCTGGACCCGATTGACACACAAATGATCTATTCTGTTAGTGTTCTAGTTAATAGATAATAAAAATAGCTCAATCTTTAGAAATATCTATTGCATGACAGGGAAAAAAATCAAAACAATATGAAAGGTGCATCTTGCCTAAATACATATTAATTAGGGATAATTAGTCAGCCTGACTGTGGACAGTGCCTGCAGCTCTAAAACAAAACAAAATTTATTGCGTAGAATTGTTGAAATTGTCATTTATAGATGACGTAAAAAATGTGGATAAACATTTACTAATGTTGACATCAAATGTATCGATAGTTTTTCAGCGATATCAATGTTTAATATTGAAGAATTGACAGGGATTCTCCTAAACTTTTTTTCACAACGTAAGGCAATATGTTACTACCCAGAAAAAAGAGGCAGAGACGTATTTCTCTACTGTATATATATATATATATGTAAAGGAAATTATTTTAAAAAACACACAAGAAAAAGTTAAGTTAGTATTTTGCATAACGTTTTCACAGCTTAGCTGCTCCACAGTGCAACTTTTTCTTGTGAGTTTTTTTAATAATTTTCTTTATATTATCACTTGCGTATCGTCATTAACTATATTTTTAATATATATATACGTTATACATATTTAGGTGAAGGTGCGATACAGTAATTATTTATTAAAGTGTTCATCAACACGTGTCTGCATAGTTTGTCAGAGTTAATAAGTCCGCCGGTATTGGACTACATCTGTGGCGGTGATAGCGATTTGGCAGCGTGTTCTGTATTGTAAGATGTATCACCAGGAGGAGTTCGTACGTACTACCGATACACTGTACACAATATGTTATAGGTGTGTCTAGTGTGAAATGTTGGAGAAACAAGAGAATTATCACACCACATCGACAGCTGGAAAACCGTTATACTTCACGATTTAATGCAAGAAGTCGTCAACAGACGGGTAAACTCTAACACAGGGTTTAGAAACATGCAGGTTGAAGAAATTTATGGGGAGTTGTATGGTTGTCATAGTGATCCACTGTGTGCGATATAAACGTGGATGTGTTTGATGCGTGTTAGTTTGCTTGTTGGTCACGTTGTTGTATACCTTGTTCTCATTTAAATAGTGACATTACTTGCTTTGATTGATCAAGATTTAGATATTGGGAGTCGGTGAATCAGAAGACGGTTACTCTTCTGGAACACCTGATCTAATTTTCTTGTTCTTTTTCGGTAGTTTCCGTGTAATTTACTTTGCCCTAGTTTTATTTAATTTAATATTGGATTATGATTATTTGGACATGTTGGTATTTTTTTCAATGTTTAGCTTTTAATATGATTTTGTTTTTCGTTGCAACCGGGTAAACTTTTTTTTATATTTACAAAATCACTATAATTATCTATTTCCATCAAATATATACTATAAATGTAACGTGGATGCTTTGTCTTTACACAACTAGACATCGGTTTGTATCATCTTAACTAAAATGGCGTGAAAGAAGTCGTTAATGTATAAGTCTGGCAGTTTACATCTTGGTTAGCTGTTTGTATCATAACCTTAGTTTTTACTGTCTTCTAGAACATAACACAATGATACACATGTTACAATACACATGAACAGTCTGTCCAGAAAAGTACTTCTGACTGACATACACGAAAACGACAAATAAGATGACGCGTGTGTATATACAACAATCACATATGTGAACATACAGTGTAGAAATAGTTCTACACATGTGTGAACATACACTGTAGAAATAGTTCTACACATGTGTGAACATACAAAGTAGAAGTAGTTCTACACACGTGTAAACATACAATGTAGAAGAAGTTCTGCACATGTGTGAACATACACAGTAGAAGTAGTTCTACACATGTGTGAACATGTGTGAACATACACAGTAGAAGTAGTTCTACACATGTGTGAACATGTGTGAACATACACAGTAGAAGTAGTTCTACACATGTGTGAACATACACAGTAGAAGTAGTTCTACACATGTGTGAACATACAATGTAGAAGAAGTTCTGCACATGTGTGAACATACACAGTAGAAGTAGTTCTACACATGTGTGAACATACAATGTAGAAGTAGTACTACACACGTGTGAACATACACAGTAGAAGTAGTTCTACACATGTGTGAACATATACTGTAGAAATAGTTCTACACATGTGTGAACATACACAGTAGAAGTAGTTCTACACATGTGCCTGAACATAATTTCACCTGAAATATTTCCCTCTGAATGACACTGATTATTTAGATAACTTTTGATTATCAGCCTATAAATTTTCCACAATTCACGAGTTTTTATCACTGACAAGTACTACAAGGAAAAACACAACTGTATTTGACTGTACTGATATATCAGTTTACTTGGGAAGACGTTATTCATTTGTAACTTTTGTGCAACCACTACATGAAAATCACTCGGATAGGAGCACCATTGTCCCTCTAGCTGCGGTTTTAATCGTGGGGTATGTCGCATTTGAGCGTGCGATTTTTTTATTTTTGATGCTTGTCATAACTGATATTCATGAGGTTTAATTCAGTGTTTGTTACGATGCCAACATAACGTTAAATTTGTTAACGTTACACTTCTGATTTACTGATACATGAGAATCTTGATTGTCCATCAAACGGACTGTTGTTTTCCTCAATTATTTTTTATTCAAGATATATTTTTTGGTAATTCCCTCCGTGTATGTTTAAGATTATGAACTTTGACAAATCATTATTTGATTACTTATATATAAGGATTTCGCCTCATCACGCATTTACTAACCATTTATTTTTATTAAATGTCCGAAACCACCAAAGTACAATTAAAAGATACACTGGCGAGGTAAATATTACTAACACGTGCTGAACAAAATGTATCGTAATGTTAGCAATGACTTTCTGTTACAGGAAACATCAGTGACGTCATCTATATACGTAATATGGTGACCGTCGCACGATGACGTCATGTGAGATTGCGTGTAGTGTAGCCATGCGTGTACTACTCGTGATGGTGAGTATTGTAAACTTAAACATCAACAACATGAACGTTTGAAAGTATCTATTTGTTCAGTGTTGATAACTTCAAATCCATTGACTTACGTTTCTACAAGATTATAAAGGTTGTTAAAACGACAGCATTTACGGAGAAAGTGTCCGAATCTTTAAGAATGGTTTAATCTTTAACAAAACAAAAAATTTTATATGGGTCTGTTTTCAAAAGAGTTAAGAGTAGTAGATAGAGGTTATTTAAAACATGTCGCCATCATCATCACCAGACGCAAGCAGATACAGGTAACAATTTTAGGGGTATCGTCATGCAACAAAGAAACGTAGCAAGTTTAACTCCAGAATAACATTCCTATGATCAATGGTGTTGTGATACTTTATTCAGTAATGGTGTATAACTGATATAAGGATGATAAAGGGGTATTAAAACAGGTCTTCATCCTTATCATACGCAAGCAGATACAGGTATCAATTTTTGGGACATCGTCATGTAGTCTATATAAAGGAAGGGGTCGCTTATTGCATGGACAAACAAAGACAGGGTAACCATCTGACAATGAATGTGGGAATTTCGGTATATTGGTGTCATAAATGAATCATTTCTTATTTGAAATTTGTGCTACTTAAATGTCATTGTGTTATAGAAGAAGTATATGTATGTGTTTAATTTGTCGTTTTTATTTTGATAAAGAAGTTTCTTCACTCAAATTTGAAAAAAAAATTGTAACGGAATCGGTTATTACGATAGCTTTATTCATATGACATTCTTAACGGCCCATCAACACACAAAAGGTCAAGGTCATTAGGGCCGTAAACAGTAAAACACACACCGATGCAAAAGGAAATAACATTATTATTATGACATTCTTAACGGCCCGTCAACACACAAAAGGTCAAGGTCATTAGGGCCGTCAACAGTAAAACACACAGCGATCCAAAAAGGAAATAACATTATTATTATTATTATGACATTCTTAACTGCCCCTTAACACACAAAAGGTCAAGGTCATTAGGGCCGTCAACAGTAAAACACACACCGATGCAAAAGGAAATAACATTATCATTATTATGACATTCTTAACGGCCCGTCAACACACAAAAGGTCATTAGGGCCATGAAACGAACTAAAATGAAAAAAGCAAATGCTAAAAATTTTAAATGGTTATAGTATCACAAAAGATTAAAATTGTATGTCATAGTCTATAATACAGACCAACAATAACCTAGACTTTCATTAATTTCAACAGTTTCAAAAGGGGTCTTTAGACTTGTTACGATAAAAAAATTCTCGAGTAGACAGAAGGTCAATTCAGTCCATTACGCAAGCCTAGCTTTATAGTATGAACATAGTACATTTCATGTGAAGGTGAGAAGATGATCTAATTCACCTACAATAGACTAAACATGTCATTTTTTTCAGAAAAGACACGATTTATACAAAGGTTTTGGATGTCTAAGTCACAGCCAACATGTTATCGGCAGGAGGCAGCAATCTTTGGAGATTACTGGTTCAGATATTCTTTCTCGTTCTTGTCATTAACGATGCCTCAATCACAAGCTCTTTGCCTATTCCAAAGAATGTCGAACAAAACGTCACTAATATCACCGATACAACCGTCGAATTACATTCCAATAGAGCAGACCGTTGTATACAATGCATTCTGCCATCAGGCGAAGACTTCCAGCATAACGCATTTATCAAGAGGCCACCGGAGACCTACGTAGCGCTGAAAGAAAGCACAGCTGTGTTCGAATGCATTCCCAGTTTATTTAACATCTCAAGTGATGATGTCACTGTCACGTGGACAATTCCATTTTCAGTCCCGGTGACGTCGTATGATAAACTACATTCCGAGGATGCAACGGGAGCCTTCATAACTCCAAACAGCTCAATTTTGATTATGAAAAATGTGCAACCAGAGTTCTCCGGAATTTATCAGTGTGTGGTGGAAACTTCCTCTAGCACTATAATAGCTGAAATGAACTTGGTCGTTCGAATGTATGTAGTCGACATATATAACTGGCTTATCGCTGGAATTCCTGGGTTTTTACTGATATCCATGTGTGTCGTCATAACTTTCTTTTATTGTAGAATAGAAAAAAATCGCAGGGAATTCTACCGAGCACGCCGGCTTCTCAAGGAACAACAGGTTTTATATAAATATTGATACCGAAATATTTCAACAATTTCTGAAAACAAATCTTAGATGTAGGAAAACGTTCCCTATTTACTTGGATTGAAATTTCGTCTTCTTTTGAAAAAGTACACAGAGAGCCCTTGTCTGTAAGAGGATTGTGAGGAGACACAATGAAACATATTTCTAAATACTTCAGATGAATAACTTAAAATATGGCACTTTGTGTGCAAAAGAATGTATCTATAAAGAATATGTGTATCTATTAATAAGATCATATCGTACAATTTGTGTAATTAGGTCCTATTTTACAATTTTTAAAATTAGGTCCTTTCTTACAATTTTTGTAATTAGGTCCTATTTTACAATTTTAAATTAGGTCCTACTTTACAATTTTTGTAATTAGGTCCTACTTTACAATTTTAAATTAGGTCCTACTTTACAATTTTTGTAATTAGGTCCTACTTTACAATTTTTGTAATTAGGTCCTATTTTACAATTTTTGTAATTAGGTCCTACTTTACAATTTTTGTAATTAGGTCCTACTTTACAATTTTTGTAATTAGGTCCTACTTTACAATTTTAAATTAGGTCCTACTTTACAATTTTTGTAATTAGGTCCTATTTTACAATTTTAAATTAGGTCCTACTTTACAATTTTTGTAATTAGGTCCTACTTTACAATTTTTGTAATTAGGTCCTATTTTACAATTTTTGTAATTAGGTCCTACTTTACAATTTTTGTAATTAGGTCCTAATTTACAGTTTTTGTAATAAGATCCTGTATTACAAGTTGTATAGTATTTACTATATTTCCATCTTTGTACGTTTCAGTGTTGTTTACAAGTGAAAAATATCAGTTAGGTCCTAAACTCTTACTGGATGTCCTGCCTCTAAAACCGTCTAAGGGTATCACTTTTGCCTGTAAGTTTTTATGCAGTATTAATTTTGTGTAAAAATTCGAATAAGTACACCACAGTCTTCCTGATCCTATCAAATATTCGTATTTCACACTTTACGAATGAGAGACATCGGGATTGTAGCTTTACTTTTATTACGATTTGACTTTATCACTGAGAATACAGAACTCTTAAACCCTTCTAGCAGATGGAGTAGTGTGTTGATACCATGAAGAAAATCTTGTTATTTTTCAAGAACTACTAAACTTATAAAATTGGATGGTTTAGCACTGCCTAATTACGGCAGATTTTCTCTGTACGATTTCTTTTCTTATTTTTTAGTGTTGACCATTTCATGATATTTTCATCCAATTACTTCCTAATTTCGCTGTGGTTTTTGACACATTCAGCCTACGATACTAGTACCACAAGTGTCTCGATTCCTTATTTCCATACTTCAGCTATTGAGTGTTGTGTCTATCAAATTACGAAAGAAATTATGTTATGTCCATATTTTGAAAAATGAACTGAATATCTAACAATGAGACATTTTTCAAAAGAAGCATATAACACAGGATTAAGCTGAAGGTATTTCCTGTACATTCCTTATATATTGTACGCTATCCTGACCTCCATGGAATTCGAAGTAGGGCATTCCATGACTTCATCACGTCCTTACAGACTATATCAAGCTGTACTTTCACCAAATCAAATATAAATGTATCTCATTTAATTAACGTTCTCACGGCTTGTTCGTCTGAACAATAAAACAACTTTGTGATTTTATTGTTGTAAGTGATACATATCCTTAGTCCTCACCGATCTTACCGCGATCCTTCAAAGGACTATAACGTCTGTTTACTTTATTTTTATTCTCGCACTCTTCCACAAAAAATGACTACTTTTTTCTCACTTCCCCACAAGAATTTTGACTACTCTTTTCTCACTTCCCCACAAGAATTTGACTACTTTTTTCTCACTTCCCCACAAGAATTTGACTACTTTTTTCTCACTTCCCCACAAGAATTTTTCTACTTTTTTATTCTCGCTTCTCAACAAGAATTGACTACTTTTTTCTCACTTTCTCAGAAGAATTTTTCTACTTTTTTATTCTCACTTTCCCACAAGAATTTGACTACTTTTTTATTCTTGCTTCTGCACAAGAATTGACTACTATTTTATTCTCGCTTCTGCACAAGAATTTTTCTACTTTTTTATTCTCGCACTCTCCCGCAAAAAATTCACTACTTTTTCATTCTCGCATCCCCACAAGAATTTGACGACTTTTTTCATTCTCGCTTCTGCACAAGAATTTTTCTACTTTTTTATTCTCGCTTCTGCACAAGAATTTTACTACTTTTTATACTCTCTTCTCCACAAGATTTTACTACTTTTTTATTTACACTTCCCCACAAGAATTTTTCTACTTTTTTATTCTCGTTTCTTCACAAGAATTTGACATTTTAATTTCAAATTCACTACAAGAGTTCAACTGCTTGTTTGACTACATTTTCATTCCCATTTCCCTATGATAATTTGATAATTTTTTTTCATCCCTACTTTCCCACAAGATTTTGACCAAATATTTGTACTCTCTTTCTAAAGAAGAAGAATTCGACGACATATTAATTGAAGTACCTTCACAAACACTTCACAGCATTTTCATTCAATTTCCCTACTAGAATTTGACCACATTTTTATTCCCATTTCCTTACAAGGATTTGTCTTGATTTTTTATTTACATTTCACCAAAAGAATTGTCTTAATTTTTCATTCCATTTACCTACAAGGATTCCTCTTGATTTTTCATTCCATTTCCCTACAAGGATTTGTTTTGATTTTTCGTTTCTATTTCCCCCACAAGAATTCGTCTTGATTTTTCATTCCATTTCAGCGCAATATTTTTTTTACCCGATTCCCCACAAGAATCTGACATCATTACATATTAATCATACTTGCTTCTACATTTCGTTCACACGATTTACATGTTTTTAGTCAGTAACACAATGCCTTAAATTTTATTCTACAATCTGACAAAATTCCCATTTTCACTTTTTGATTCCACTCGAATAATTTCTAATTCACATGCATGTACACGTCTCATCAGAATGCTGGCACGTTTTTGAATGTATTTTCGTTCATATTTGTATGTTATTGCTTAACAATAAACAGGTAGATACATAGGAGAGATCTATTGAAAATAACGTGACAAGCGTTTTCTAACCTCACTTAACAATATTATATGAAAAATACTCGATTAATTCATCGACAAACGTTTATTGGTTATTATGGGACACCCTTTTTGCGACACTTTATTTTGGGACACCCCCTTTTTTGGACCCCCTATTTCGGGACAGTGTTTTGGAGCACCCTATTTTGGGACACCCTTTTTTAGACATCATATTTTGGGACACCCATTTGTAAATTGGAACAACCGCTGCAGTTTATCCCTACCGAACATGATACGGAGAATTATTTAAGAGTATTGAACTTCTTTTTTGTTTTCTAATGTTTAGCTTTTAAGAAGTAAAATTTCACAAAAGTACAAATGTATATTGATCTTTATTTGTTTTGTTCCTTCAATCAAGATTTTAGCTACAAGAGAATAAAACTTCAATTGATGTAGGAGATTTTATGAAGACCTGAATGAAACATTGACATACAAATCACTCTGGTTAGACAAGGAAGTTAAAAAAAAATGTCTTCCAAGATCCGAGGTGTAACGCCAAACCACATGGCAGCTTACATATATATTGCTTTAGAAGTTTCTCCTCCAGGTGGAACGATAACGTCACGTGTAGATGGATTAAATTTATGTTAACAGTGCATTGTCTGCATGTGGAGCAGAAATCGACTTCAAAATATATCGTCAATTTATTTGTAGATAGCATATCCTATCCCATGTGTAGCTTAACTTCAGTGTTTGTTGCCATGTCTGTGATGCGAAAATACCTGTTTATGTCTTACTGAGATGGTACGTATTTTACAAGGTGGTCATGAAACAACCATTGAGAAGCATAAATAAAAACCATTTAGAAAAATAGCATATACAGTATAAAAATGGTGTCATGTTTTTTAATCTGAATATGAAGAGATAAAACATGGCTGCTGCAACGTTCTTAGCCACGATTCAGACGTCGATTCAGATTCAAAATTTAAACCAAATTGACCAGAAACCCTAAGGAACTCGACTTGGTGCTTTTGACAATTTACTTAGGAGTCGATATTGGATCTATCCAGTTGCACAAACACGTCTGCATTTACAGTACACAGGTACACTAAATATACAGAAATGCCTTTCTTGGGGTCCGTCTTCTTCTTCAGGTTCAACAAGAAGCCAGACGTAGGCTTCTTCCATTTCGCAATTTCTACAGCTACCTTCTCTGCAATAGATAAGTAGAAGTAAGGGTAATGTCATTGTGAGTTTATCAGGCAACGGAAATTTAAAATCCCAGCGAGAGGTCCTTAGGGCCTTATCAATTAACTGGTTTTGCTTTATTTAAACTAAAGGAAAATTATTCTGAAGATTTGTAGGTTAACCCCACCCCCTTTCTTGGCCCTGCCCCTACCAAATGCAGACAAAAGACTACCAGTAGTATTTAAGATAATGTGCTCTATATCACCTATTGGCCCTCATCCAGGAAAACAACAACCGTCTTTACAAATAGACTCCTTTTCACCCAAGAATGCTTCTGAGAATCCTGGCATCCCTAGTGTAGCAACCCTTCCCTTACTGCCCACGGGGCGGTGCTACACTGTTTATTCGAAAAGGATGCTTTAGACCAAAGAAGAGCAGAATCCAGGCATTTCTGCAGAAGAACGATTTAAATTATTTGCTTCATTTCCGCTACTGGGCCCTGCTCTTTGGTGGACGGGGACCAACCATTTATACAAAATTGTTTCTTCTTCAGTTCAAGGATGCTTCTGACTGGAATGGAACAAAATACAAGCTTTCCTTCAGAAGGATTTTAAAGAATTCTCCTATTGGACCCGTCTCTCCCGCCCAAGGGGGCTGAGGCCCACCGTTTATACAACATTGATTCCCTTTACCTAACCATTCTTCATTTGAAATAAGTACACAATAACATTCCTGCAGAAGAAAAATCATTTTAGATAATTCGCCATATTTTCGTTATTGAGCACTTCCCCTCCGCCCGATGGGACTTGGGCCCACCATTTTTACAAAGATGATTTCCCTTCACCGAAAATGTTTAAGACCAAATTTGGATAGAAACCAAGCATTCCTGCAGATAAAGAAGTGTTTTCAAGGATTGACACCATTTCCCGGCTCCGCGCCTCATGTCTCAGTGGGCTGTGATCAACCATTTATACAAAATTGATTCCCCTTCAACCAAAGATGGTTCACAAGAACTTTGGATGCACAGTCGAGATCTATTCACTTGACCTCAAATGCCCTCATATAAAGAATTTCACACCCCTACTTATATCGTACACAGTGTG